TCTTAAAGCTTGTTGTAAAACTAGATTTATTGATTTTGTTGTTTATTATGAATTAACGCAAAATGGAGTGGTCTGATTTCTCTTATTTCAGCGATTTGTAAGATGTAATAAGACTAATTGAGCAAGGAGTTTCTCTCTTTTCTTCTTCTAAATTAGCAAAGTTGGCACTTTCAAATCTATTTCTACTGTCCTGACAAATTGCAGCTTTAAAATTGATGCCACCAAGCCAAGAGTGATTGCTTTGAGTTGTTTGATGGAGCATTTTGAATTTTTGGTTAAATTTATTAGGGTGTCTCTCTCAAACAATATAAATAACCCCTCAATTTTTACATGAAAGAGATTTTTGGATGAAACAAGGAGAGCTCGAATATTTAAAGAATTTTACAGCATTACCCAACAATCTCATTTTCATCACCATACTATTATTGTTGGACTATTATTGCTTGACGGTCGTTGTTGGATTATCATCTTTGCTTGACAATTGTCTCTCAAGCACTGACACCAACTATACCGATGTCAACCATAACCTATTAGATTTATATGTTGTCAACATGCCATCGCTTATAAAGTTAATACGCATATTCAAAACTAACATTGTTATCTATCTACTTTGTTGTTAACAAGATTGATAAACACCATTACTAATAAGACTTGTGTATAAAGTCAGCATCAATTTTGACTCTCGATGTCAGAAGTAAGATTTTTACTAAAATTTTGTTTGAACAATGTTTGAATTGAATGTAAATTTTCTGTCTTTAGTTTCTTGATTTTCTTCAAATTATTATCGTCAAGTCCATCATCTACAATTTATGTTTACAATATTATATCAACACCTTTCTCAATTATGAGAAAGACCATTATTTATAAATGGTATATTCTTATGGGGTCATTTTAACAAGTTCTAACTAATCAAACTATATGATTTTTTTCCCATTTTAAGTTTTTCACATAAAAACTATTGAGTCTCTTATAACTCTTTTTATTTGCATGCTATATGGATCTTCATATAAAACTAAGACGTTAAATTTTTTTCTTTACCATCAATATTCTAGTACACAGCAAAATAACTTTTTTTGTAATAACATTATATTAGCAAAAATATTTGTTGCATATTAACTGAAGACTTTGTTTTTTAGTTCCAACTTTGAGCTATAGATTTGTCAAATTGTCACTCATCATTCTGTTCACACACAAACACACACATCACACACACACACACACACACTTAGGTGTCACTCAAAATAATTATAAATAAGCCCTCATTTTGTACATGAAATAAACTTTTGTTCGGAAGTAAAGGAGACTCAAAGAATTAAACAAATTTAGATATTTAGTTGAACACATTTTATTAGATCGTTTCACTCAATCACCATCATAAAATTATCAGACTATCAATGCCCCTATTTTCGTTCATTTCTCTTTATATTTTTAACGGAGTTGTTGGTTTGTCATCATCATATACTTCTCTTTTTTGACTAAGTCTCTCTTCCATATCATATGAATGATTAGGAGAATGATCAGAATGAAATGGACATACGACAAATGTGACAAATAAGATAAAGAACATTGAGAACTTTTGTGTGGCAAGCCTCACTGGGATAGATCAAATATAAACGTCCAAATAAAATCAGGCTGAAATAGCTTGTGCCATATATCCGGGAAAGAATGCCTATGAAAGCTACCCTTAACCAAAGATTCATATGCGTTTGTCTGTTCTGGGGCAGGTCCAGAATGCTCCCAAGGGGATATATCCCACTTGGTTAATTAAATTTTGGGGGCTCCTAAGAATACTCTTGATCCAAAGGAGTTTTGCTTGCATTAGTAGCGACAACTAGCATAGGGCTATCAAAGGACAACTATTTCGTAGGGGAATGCTCCGATGTTTTCAAAGCTCTTGATAAGACACGAGGCAGTGAGTGTATCTTTCACAATCCAACATGGGTAACAAATTCATCAGCATATGAAACTTGTTAAATAACTGAATTATCCTGACGAGGAATCATGATGCGACAAAGCACATCTAGGTCATAAGCATAGAGAACAAATCATCGTATCTAAAAAAAGTGACAACATATCAACAATCAGGTCATCGAGATGTTATCAACTAAGGAAAAAGAAGCGACGGAGCTCAACAGAGGTAGTTAAAGGATGGAAGGAGTAATCCCTAGAATATAGAGGTAACCGGATTAGGGTGCCACAGACTTGTCATCCCAAGCTACTAGAACCGTAAGTGTACCTGATCGTGTAGTCGACCAAACACGTCTTGAGATCCCCGGTCAGTAATCCATGAATTGCATCGTCCACAGGAACCTTGATAGCCCTAAACTATGAGAAACAAAACTCTATCCTATGGCTATTAGGTGGAGCTCCAAGAGACTTATACTTGCTAAAATGGTAAGGATGCCGTTGGAAAAGAGAAGAAAGGGAGGTTTAGCGACAAAGTTGGAAACGTTTCCAATAAAAAACTTACACTCTATCTGGGTAGGGGAGCATTCTAACGACCTAAGCGCACCATAAAACCAGCTAAGTAGAATTTTATGCTAAGCCAGTCTGGTTGGAGAAGCTCGAGGACATTTCCTCGTGACATGCAAATGATGCAGTTAACTAAAGCGGTCGTTAGATATTTTGAAGACCCTATTAATTATGACATAGGTTATACCCATGCTATGCAACCAGTTTTATAACCGGCCCGAAGGCCATGCAAGAAAGTCGAAAACATGTTTTAAAAAAATCCTGAATCTTTTAATCCTAAATTTTAATTTGTCTTGAAACTATTATTAGAATTTTTATAGAAAAAATTATAATTTTAAGATCCTAATAAGATTAAATTACAATTTTCCCAGTATCCCATATACAAACAGAGGGAAAACAACCCAAACATATAATCATGCAGGAAAAACAGTAGAACAAACTAATTAAAATAATAAAAAAAGACCAGTGCCGTTGCGTCGGCGATGTATCCCAGAAAAGAAAAAAATGGCCGGATTCTGAATATACATGCCCTCTTCTAATTCTAAACTTCTATATATATTTACATGTTAAACACCTAAACTTTCATATTTACATGTATATAATAGTAAAAAATTGTGACATTAAATAAAAAATGTCAGTATCTCTAACTTCTTAAGAGTGAAATGTACATTTTCATACATAAATTGTTAAGCTTAAGTATTAAAAATTGTAAACATTAATTTCTAACAGTTACATGTATAAATGCACAACAATTGTGTGGCATGTACGTAAATTTTCCTAAAGTTTGACTTTGCCATGGAAGGGCTCTGCGTATAAGGTGACGTCGAGCATCTGGGAACATATTCTTTTTGCAGGGAGTTTTGCATGACGTACTTTGCTGGCTTTATTAATTAAATAAAAATAGTAAATATTATATATATATATATATACTT